TTTATATAAAGACTGAAATTTTAGATTAGATATTTTATTATATAAGAAATTTAATATTTTTATAATAATAATTAAATTGTTTTGTCTTTTTCAAAATTTACCAAATTTATTTATTACAGAAAACCCAAAATAAATTCTGAAACTACAATTCTAAAAAGCTAAATTATACTTTAATATTTAATTTTTTTGTTAAACAAAAATATTCAATTAATTTTTGTTGAATTAACATTATTAATTAGACCTTATGAAAAATTAAATAGATATATGTTATATGATATAATTAAATTCCTAAAAAAAAAAAAAAAAAAAAAAAAAAATTAAAAAATGAGTTTTCTTTTTGTGTGTAAAATTCACAAAAAAATCGACAGGAAAATTGTTTAAAGTTATAACTTATTTATATTAACATTATATTTATAATTATTATTTGCAACAATTTTGGCTTATGGCTCATTATCTAATTCTGTTAATTTATACTTCATTTGACTTGATTCAATACTTTTATTAGTACTTGCAAATTCATCCTAACCTCTTTTATAGTTTTTATCTTTCTTAGATTTTATTCTTTCTTCAATTTATTTTATACTTCTATTTAACCTATTATCTATTTAAATTTAAGAAATGTCTTTCAAGTTATTGTTTTATTTAATATTCCATTCTGTAAATTTATGTTTTACACTGAAAAAATGCTTTAAAAATTTCTCCCATATTTCTCCTTCTGATTAAGTTATTATTTCTTTTGAATTCACTATTATATTATCTTTTCGAATTACTTAATTTTGAGCTAAAAACTGTAAATTTTCTACATAAAAATTTGAAAAAGTTATAGTTTATAAAGCTTCCTATGTATCTATTTTTTTGTTTAAAAAAAAAAAAAAAATTGTTTATAACGTAAAAACTTACCTAATCTATTTGTTTTTAGCCTTTCTTAATCTGAAATTTATTATAATTACGGTTATTAATTTAAATCAGTTTGAATGATTTATTCTTTTATTTATTACTATTATTATTATTCAACTCTTTCATGTTTATGTGCAAATACATTATAATAATCATCTTCATCTTAAAAATTCAACTTTTGTTCTGTTTATTTACACAAAATTTTTTATCCACTAGATTATTTATTTTGATTTTCCTGAGTTTATAATTTATAATTACCTTATTTAAAAAAAAAAAAAAAATTAAAGGAAATATAAAAATACATATAAGAACCTTTTTATATATTTTAAATAATTGTTTTATAATAATTTATTGCAAATATCCACTATTTTTTTTTATATTCAGAATCGGCAGCAAGTACTAATTAGTCATTTTTTTTTCTGTAATTTTATTTAAAAACTTTTAAAAGAAACCTTAATTTTTTTTAATGACATTATTATTTTTATTGATATTTTTTTCAATAAACTAAGAGTTTTATTCATTCATTTATGTATTAAAAGCTACATAGCTATTTTCTTCAATTTATTAAAACTATTATTTTTAACTTTAAATAAGGTTTTTATTTTCTATTTTTTCAAGCATAAAACTATATTAGTTTTATTAGTTAAAAGGAATATTATTATCAATTTTAAGTTAATATTAATTTAGTTATATTTAATCTTTTATTTAAACTCAGATTATAGAAAATTAATGAGTCGTTTTTAATTATTACATATTGCTTTTTAAATGAATAATTTTTCAGATTTGTATGATAGTAATTAATATTTTTTTTCTATGTAATTGCTATTTCTAATATTCCCGCATATTCCAGTTCTATTTGAGCAACTTTTTACGCCAGATTTTTGTTTTTATTCAGAATTTCAGGTTTTTTTTTAGCATTTAAAATATTTATTATAGATATTATTTCTACACTTTCTTCACTTTTAACAAGATATATTTTTTTTTGTCGTAAATCATTAATAAAAAATGTCCTTTTTTCGTTTTCTGAGTTATTATTAATATTATTAGTTTCTGTAAAATTATTATTTCCTAATTATTAAAGTCTTGTATTTGAACGTTTATTTCCATTTCTTCCTTATTAATTATTTGTTTCTAAAATTTCAATAAAGGAACATTTATATAATTCAATATCTTACAAATATATTTCTTTACTAACTGTTGTTGGTTTTACTGAAAATAATGTATTTGAAGATGATTAAATAAAAAAAAACATATTCGACCATTTATTTGCTTTTTTTTTACTAAAACGTGTTAACCAACCTTTACTCTTTGGTTTGTTATTTAATAAATATGAATTAAGCTCATTTTCGATTGCATTTTCTTAGTTTTAATCGTTTTATTTTTTCTCTTCTTCATTTGTATGGTTCTCTTATTCGTTTTTTTCGCCTTCTTTCTATTTTATACTTATTAGTTCGGATAGTCCTTCGATTAGTTTCAGGGTCAATATTTGCTTTAGCTTTGTACTTATATTTTGGAAATAGTGGACTACATTCTATTTTTTTTTAAAGTCCCGTTTTGGTAGTTACTGTAAAAATTAAACAATTCCATTAGCTAAATCTAAATTTTTATTATAATTATATATAAATAAAAAACAATGAATAAAAAAATATATGAAATAATAATAAATTATAAAAATATAAAAAAATTTATAATATAAATATATATATATAAAAATATATATATTTATATATATATATATTATTTTTATGCTATGCTTTTTTTTTTTTTACGAAATCTAAGTTTATTGACTTGTGCTGTTCTGAATATTTTATTAAATGCTTTAATGTAAACTATGGGCCATCTTCAGATAAAACCCTAAATATTTTCATACCTTTATTTACTTATTATTTTTGATTTTATTATATTTACCTATTCTTAAAATTAACTCTGATTATGTTAAAGTTTATAATTCTATATTTTTAAGATCTTAACATAAAAATAAAGAAAAACCTATTTATTTGAAAAATGTATTATATATTTTCTTTATAATTTTTTTGTTTACTTAAAAAATCCACATTATTTTCCTCATTTTTAGGAATATTATTATATATTATGTCTGAATCTTCCTTTTTAATAATTTTTATTTTAAAGTAAACAGATGAACGAAAAAATACGTTGGTAAAAACAAATAAGAAAAAATACATATAATGTTTATTTTTTAAAAATTACTTTTTTTTGGCATATGTTTAATTTTTTAAATAAATTAAAAATTTCTTCTTAACTAATTTAATTTTCTTATTAAGCTTTTAAAGCAATAAATATATCTTAAATAATAGGAACTTAGTTTATTACTTTATAATAAAAAAACAATTATAATTATACATAAAATATATAATATATAAAATTACATTCGGCTTCTTAATCTAATGATTTTTCAGAAAGTAATGAAGGTGTACTGTTTATGTTTAAATTTATTTACTCAAATTGTTTTTTTCATATATTTTATTCAAATTAAAATAATTTATTTGCATCATTATAAACGACTACCAATTTATTATTTTAAGGGTTTTCTTCTTATTATAAAGGATGTTATTTTTTTTCAATAACTTCTTCATTTTATTACGTAATCTAATTATTTTATGTATTTTTTTTATTTTAAATGTGCATTTTTTCCTTTCTTCTATATATATATATTTTTTTTTTTGAAATATAATTGAATTTGAGTTATAAATTAATAAAATTTATTTAAATGTACTATATAATTAAAAACATATTTTATTTCTTATCCTTTAAAAAAATTATTTTTTGATCTTAAAATTTTTTTGTATTAAATTATTAAAGGATAAATTTATTATAAGTTTAAAAAAATAAAATAAAAAAAGTATACAATCAAACAGATTTTATTTAAAAAATATTATATAATAAAAATATATATATAAATAAATGAATATACATATATAAAATATATATATATTTATATATATTTTAAATAAATATATATATATATATTTATAATTGAAATATTTATTATAATTATTTTAATTATATTATTTTATTTTTATATTAAATAAAATAAATATCTAATTTTTAACAAAAAATAACAATAGATAAAATTTTATTTATTTAAATTAAAATAATGATAATAACTTATTATCATATAATAATATTTTTTAATTTTCAATTTTATTTTACTTTATTTTATAAAATACTAATTTCTTCGTTTTCTAATGTTTCTGTAATTTTATTTAATTCCTATGTTTTTAAATTTTTTTTATTAATATGAAAACTATATATAGCTTTATACTTAAAAAATTTTATTCAAAGTCTTTTCTTTCTTTTCATAATCAATTTTGCGAACTTTAATTATAAAATTAGCAAAAACAGGTCTTTTATAAATAATATATATATATAATTTTATCTATATTTGGAAGTAACTACCTATGTTATGAAATAGAAACTTCAATAAAATCATAATTTTAGGCTATACATGAATCTTGAATTCTTTATTAAAATAATATTCTATCACACCTTCCATTTATTTTTATAAAAGATTATAGAATATTAATATTTAATAAATTAAAAAAAACAAAAAATACCAAAATGGAATTATATCAAAATCATATTTTTATTTATTAACAAAATATTTAAAATTTGGTTAAAAAGTTACTGCTTATTCTTAATATTTAGATAGAATATCACTATTTTTTTTTTATTATTCAAAAATATCATTTTAAAAAATTTTTGCTATAATCTTAACAGCTTATTCTTCCATTTTATTATTTTTTAATAAATCAAACTCTTATAATAACTTATTAATATCCAATATAGAAATACTATTTCCAAAACCCATATCTCCAAAGAAAAATTTAAAATCAACAAGAGGACTGTTTTCTTCTTTTGACAATTTAATATAATCATGAATTTCACGAATATATTATAATTTTGTTTATATAGACCCTTACTCTAGATGTACATTTAAAAAACATAAAACAGTATCATCAACTTAAAATTGACTGATAACACATCCCTTTTTATATGTATTTTTATTTTATATATATAATATCATATAAATTTAAAATAATACTTTATTATAGGATAATTTGATAGTTTTTTCATTTATTTTTTATACTTTTTCTTTAATATTATTTTTTGCAAAAATTAAACTCAGATTTCCAAATAAATCCTTATATGAAACTAAGGAATAATTATTTAAAAATCTCTAAATAAGTAATACTATTTTTTTAACTTAAGGTTCATTATTTTTTATATTTTAAGGGATAATTTCTTAAAGACCAATAACTAAAATATCTACTTATTCTTTAAAATTTAAAAGATCTTTAATACATTCTTAACTAAGTTCATTTCCTTACAAATTCCAGGTTAAAACCAATAATTAAAACTAAGAAAAATTGCAAAATTGTTCTTATTTTTTAGTAAGTTCATTTTCTATATTTTCATCGAACTCATTTTTTTAAGTATGTTATCCTACAACTAAATCTATTGCATCCTATTTAATATTATCCTCAAAGTTTTATAAATAAAAGCGTGAAATACTTTTATATCCATGTTAAAGAAGACCTGCAAAATCCCTTTTACCTTTTTTGGTTACATCTGTATGTGTAGAACCAGTACCTGTGTAATGTTTTGATATCATGTCTCCTAAATCAGCCCAAAGACATTTAAATTTGGTCATAAAAGGATGATTTTATTTTATATTATTATTATCTATATGTTTCAAGGATTCTTCTCCAAATTAATCTTTTAAATTATTTTATTTAATTTTTTTTTTTTTTATTTTTTTTATATAAAAAAAATACCTTATAAATTAACTCCCAAATAATTAAGTTAAAAATCAAGAATGTCTAATGCTATTTTTGTTTATAAAACATTAGTCCTATCTAAACAATCAAGGCAATTAGTCCTTACAATTCCTTATTATTGAACTAAAATATTACCAGTGATTGTATTTTCGGCAAAAAAAAGAAGGTTTTTATTCATTTTACTTAATTCTTATATTAAAGGATTTACATTTTCGTATTTTTAATGTTTACAATGTTCATGAAAATCAAAGAATTTATATTTAACAAAAGCTTTATTTATTTATATATTACTTTTTAATATTTTATTTTTTATAATATTTTTTTTTATTTTTTCATAAAACACTAAAAACACTATTAACAATTAACTAATATTTCTCGTTTAAATAAATTTTTATTATTATTGGAAAAAATATTTTCAATTAAAAAAAATGGTTTAGTTAATTTTAATTAATAATGATAGATATATTGAGATTTTTTTTTTTTATAAAAAAATAAATAAATAATAATATAAACAAGTGTATATATATATCTATATGAAAATATATTATTTACGTAAATTATTGTGTAAAATATGTTTTTCATATATATCAGTTAATAGTTATTCACCATCACTATGCTTTTTCATTAAATTTATACAAAGAATTCTTTAATACTTTTTTTTAAATCTTCGAAATGCTTTAAAAAAGCCTAATTAGCTTATTCGAAATTCTTTGTTAGTTAACATTAGGCTGTAATTCCTGTTTATCCCCAAAAAGAAGGCACAGAACCTCTTATTTAAGTATATGAAACGCAATATTAATTATAAAAGAATATTTATTCAATCTCAGTATAGTTTGCTACATTTCCTTCGTCATCAATACCTCTCGAATTATATCTCGTCCCAGCTTTTTTGCATGAACGTCTTGCAATTAAATAGAAGTCTAATTTTTTACCCTATAAATAAACGTTAAAGTAACCTACATATCCTTAAATTAAAGGTATTGACCACGCATTAGATAATTTATTTGCAATTATATCTTTACATAAATATGAATTCCAACAAAAACGGAAATCCTATTGTTCATTTTGCCTTTATCTTGATAAACTTAGGTCTAATGTATATGAAAAATAATAGCCTTCTTAAAACAATTTTCTGATGTTTTTTATTTGATTCAATATTTCTTTCCCAACTTCAGTTTCTTTGCCATTATCAGATTTAAATATGTTACGAGCTTTCTCAAACGGAACAAAAGCTAATTTATTAATCTCAAATATGTCATGCCTTTAGATAGAACATATATGATTTACTTCTTCGGCTAATAATAAAAATGGTATATCCAATATATATTAGATTCCTAAAAAAGCAGAGAATTTTAAGATTTCTATTGGTTTTTCATATTCATGTTTTTTTGTTATATCTGATTAATTTTTTTTTTATATATTTTTTTTTTTCAATTAAACCTGTTTCATATATTTTAGAATTTTTCTCTATTATTAACTTTTTATCATGCTTTGTGTTTTACTTAGATTTCAATTATATCTTTTTTCATTTGATAAAGTAGTTATATTATTATTATTAATTTTTTTTTAAAAAAAAACCTCAATATATGTAGGATATCTTAATACAAATACAACTTAAGTGTTTTAACTATTGTTATTATTTGTGTTCCCTTCTTGTTATACTGTTGGCGTGGCTCCTGAAAAATCAGAAGTACCTAAAATGGACATATATTCCATTGTTATATTATTTTATTTATTTTTTAATTTTAGAGTATATATATATAAATATAATATATATATATATATATATATATATTTTTTTTTTTTTTTTTATAAAATTTCGTACCAAAAAAAAATATATATTTTATAAAATTTGCATCCTTATTAATACAAAAAAAAAAAAAGAAAAAAAAAAAAAAAAAAAAACCAAAGGGAAATATTAATTTTTAAAAGTAAAATAAATAACGCAAAAGATCAACATCGTTAAGAAATTCGTAAAAAAACCATAAGCCGTCAAATAAACAAGAAGCGTATGAACCTATATGGAATGCAATAAATCTAAGAAGAAAAATAAATTCCAATATCTTTATATATTCAGTAGCTTTTTGATTCAATGAAAAGCCCTTAATTAGTCATTTAATAAAAGCTAAAATAACTTCGAATTCAAATAACATACATAATTCAAGATAAAATCTAAATATAAAAACAAGAAGAACATCAGTACATTAACTTATTAAATATATTGAGTAAAATTTTATAAGAAATTAAAAATAACAACAATTAAAACGAAAATCAAACATTAAAGGAAATTATAATAATAATTGGAAATATATATTGCTAAAAAGAAATAGTTGAACTATATAATAAAACATAAGAGGAAGAAGAATTAATCAGTGAAATTTCCCAAATATTCTTTTAAAATATCAATACACAAATCTTAAGTGAAATTTTGCGTCTTTTTGGTAACTTTATTTCCGAAAATTTTGAAAATAAACTTAGATTGATTCAGTAAGGAATTTTAAAGGAAATTTCTTCGGAAAGTTTTTTCTAAAAATGCACATAAATAGATGAAGATTTTATCATTTATACAATGTTTTTTCTTAAAAACTTTATTGTAGGGAAACCTTCAGTGGCAGAAGAAGAAAAACAATAGCTTTTTTAATTATTTTCTTGTCTTTTTTTAAATCCTTTAGCCAATACTGAAGCTATTTTAGATGGTTTTAAAATACTTTAAGTAATTCCAGAATATAAAGATCCTCTTTCTATAGCTTTAATGCTTTAATATAGAGATGTATTTGAAAAATTGCATTCTTTTGGAACTTTTGGAAATGGTTTTTGTAAAGAAATTAGAGTTGGAGCATTAAATACATTATCTTTTTATTTTAAATTCACTGATAACTAAGCAGAATATGTATTTAATATTTAAGGAAAAGGCGTTTTTTTGGAAAATATAAAAAATTATTTTTCAAATAATGAAACATTTTGGGAAGAAAAAAGGGAAATATTGAATATTTTGTATTTGTTTTTTATGTGTAAAAAAAATGAGTTTTTCGACGAAATTTTCTTTGAGTTTTTTTTATTTTCGAATAAATTTTATAGAATTGTTTTAATTAGGAAATCGGTATTTTAGCTTAAAAAGTGATTTGTTAAAGCCTTATTTTTGCAAGTTTTTAATAATAAATGATATTTATTAAAAACTTGAATTCAGTAAAGGTTTTTTTTAATATTCTATAAAACGATGATTTAAATTTAGTATAGAAATGCCTTAAATCGATTGTTTGTTTAATATAAAATTAGGTTTTCGAATTTATTTAGTAAGTTTTAAGTTCTTAGATTTTCTTAGGATTGATTGAAAACCTAAGCTTGAGTTAAGAAAATTAAATTTGTGAATTGGCAGGTGAAATTTTAAATACTTTATAAAGAAATTGAACAATTATGAACTTTACTTTTTCTTTATTTAGTTATTTTATTATTATTTTTTAAATTTATTTATTTTAATTTTATAAATATGTATTTGAATTTCTTTTTAATTGTAAAATAAAAAACATTTTAATCTTTTTTTAATAAATATGATTTAATACATTTATTTTTTTTAAAAAAAAGAATATAAAAAAATTTTATTTATAGATTTATTTATTAGTTTAATTTAATTATATATATTTATTTAATAAAATTAATTAAAAAAAAAAATTAAGCTATTTAAAAATAATAAAACATAATAATATATATTTTTCTGTTAAAAAAAATATATTTATAAAAAGTTATTCAATCAAAAAAAATTCATTTAAAATCATAATAACAAAAATATTAAATGAATAAATAAAAAAATGAAATACCTAAAGCAAATTTAAAACAAGGAATATTTTCAAATAAGATAAATAATAATTACATAAGGCTTTCACCAAATATTTAGACAAAATAACAATCAATACACAAAAAAGATATATCCAAGCCAAAATATCCAAAGAATAATATTAATAAATGTAATAATATCAATAATAATATTAATAAATGTAATAATATCAATAATAATAGTAATAATATAAATAATAATAATAATAATAATAATAATAATAATAATAATATCTATAATAATAATAATAGTTAGTAATATTTTCAAAAACCAATAACTAAACATACAATGTCATTAGAAAAGTTTAGTTAAGAAAAAATTCAGTTAAAATAATAAGAAAGCAATAATCCTCTTTATTATTAAAAACATTAAAGAAGCTTATCTACAAATTATACTGAAAACAAATAACAAAGATCTAGTACAAACACAAATTGCTAAATTTAAGATAATTTTGCAAATAAAATTATTGAAAACATGATTAATTATAATCAAAATTATTATATTTAAGAAAACAATTAATTAAAAGAAAAAGTAAAAACTCTTTTAAATGAAATAAATGAAGTTAAAAAAAAATCTAATTTTTAACAACAAGAAAATTAATAAATATAATACAATTTAATTCAAACTTAATAAAACTATCAAAACGAATTAATTAAATTTTAAGACTAAATTTAAAAGTTTAAAAGCATTTAACAAATTTATTAAAATGAAAAAAAAGTTAATTAATAACTCGAAAAAAAAATTATTTAAAAAGATTAATAAATAGATGATTATAAAAAGAAAATTAAAGAAATTATTTTTATTTTATTTGAATAACATGATATTCTATCGAATTCTAATTATTAAAATAATAGCTTTTCTTTTGATGAAAAGTCTTATGGTATTATAATATATATATATATATATATATTTTATGTAAAAAATAAATTTCAAAGAAAACCCAAATGATAAAGCTTTGAAATGTTTGGAAAATAGTATTAATTTATTAAATCCAGTTATAAAAGAATTAAACATTGTAAGAAAAAACAATAATAATAATAATTGTAATATGCCTAAATAAAGTGATTAATTTTAAAAAAGTATAAAATAATTTCCAAATAATAACTTTTTCTAAAATGAAATGTAAAAAAATATTCTTGCCGTTAATAATAACTAATAATAATAAAATAATAGCATTTTTAAGTTTTTAACTTAAAATACATAAGAAGATAATGAAGAAATAGGTAAATTTTATTATAAAATTAATATTAATATTAATCAATTTTATAATTCATAAATTAGAATATATTCCTTCTAAAAACAGATAAATAAAATCTGAACAAGATAGTAAATTAAAATTATATTTTTTTAAAGTTTTATTTATTTATAATTAATTTAAATGCAGATAATGATAAAATACATATATTTTCTACAGAAAATGAGGAAAATAAATAATTAAAAAGTATTTTAAATATAATGCAATTATATACTTTTATAAATAAATTAATCTTAATATTATATTTATAATATAAACACAGAATAAAATAACATAGAAATAGAAAAAATTAATGAAGAAAAACTTTAGTTTTCTAAATCAACTTCATTTGCAATATTTTAAGATACAAATTAAAATTAAGAAGAAAACAGATGTAAAATATATGATATAGATATTAAAAAGCCTTTAATAAAAGAAAAAGAAAACAACTGTCCAAATAAAAACTAAATAAATTTAATAAATGAAGAATAAAAATATTTAGTTGCAAAATTAGATTATATAACTTAAAAAGTATTTATATTTTTTTTTTATTTACAAAAAAATAAGGAAAGTGATTTAAAATTTAAGTAAGGCGATAAAATTTAAGTTCTAAAAAAAACAAAAAATGGATTTTGGATAGGTATGTGCAATAATAAAATCGGATATTTTCCTTGCATTTATGTAGAAGAATAAATCTGAAGTTTTTAAAAATTAAATACTAAATAAATATATTAATTATAATTAAATATAAAATAATGTTTATATGTAAAATAACTATTTATTTATATTTATATATTAATTTGTTTTTAATTAAAATATAAAAAAAAATCGTAAAAACAACAATTATATAGATATTATTCGAAATATTAACTTATAAACTGAGTATAACAAGTAATTTTTAATAATTTTCTGAAATTTCAATTATTTTATGTATAAAATTAAAGAAGAGTTTTTCAAAATTATAATAATTATAAGCAAATACTACAATATTTAAATAAGAACTCATAAAAAAGTAATTTTCTTATTTATTCATTTTATTTTATAATAAGGTATAATAAGATAATATTAATAATCTTTTATAGTATTCTTAAAATACTTTCCACTTGATTTTTAAAATTTTTTAATAATCCTTCTTAAATTTTTTATATACATCTTTTTTTAACCATATTCAATAAATCATATTTTTATTTTATTAAAATATTATCTAATTATTTAGTATTTATTCAAATATTAGTTTTATATATATATAAATAAATAAATAAATAAATAAAAGAATAAATAAATAAATAAATAAATATTTATATATATATATATATATATATTTATATATATATATATAAATATTTATTAATTTTTTGAATTATATTTTTTATAATTTTTTTTTTATTTTATTTATTTATATATAATATGTAATATGTAGAATTTTTTTTATTTATTACATATTTTTTTTTTTATTATTTATTTTAATTTATTCTATATTTATTTTTCTTTTTATTATTTTTCTTATTTTTTTTTTTTTATTTTTCTCTTTTTCAAATTTTATTTTATTTTTTTTATATTTTGAAAATATAATTATAAATATCCATTCAGAATAATTTTTTTTTCAATTCCTTAATTTTTTAATCTACCATTTTTCATTATATCTTAATTCATTTTAAAATTTTTAATTAATAAATTTTAAACCTCAAATAACATATACTTGTCTTGATTTTCGTATAATTTAAATAATTCTATGATTTATTTATTTAATTTTTTTTTTATATAATAATATTTTATTTATGTACGTTTATATTTGTATTAAGTTTTGCTATAATATATATATTTTGCATTTATGTATTTATTAAGAAGTAGATAAATTTATTTATTTTATTATTTTCCAGTTAATATCAAAACTATATTTACTTTTTTTTCTGTATTATTTATTTATTAAGTTTTATTTTTTATTTTTCTATTATTTATATTTGTTTTAATAAAGTTGTATTATTGTTTTTTTCATAATATTTCTTTTTAATCGAATTAATTTAATTTTTTATATGACTTATGTTGTTTATTTAAAATTTTTATATTTAGTTGTTCAATAATTTAATATTTTACGTTTTTTTTAAACCCAATTGCTTTTTTAAAAGATTAAAAGACTTATTTTTCCCATTATGCTTAATATGAATTTTTTAAAAATTAATAAAGAACACTTCCATAATTAAGTATACTGAAATTAATTATATTGCATAGTAAAATTTTACTTTCGAAACTAATGCATTTATTATTTAAGTAATTTATTTTTTAGTATACAATATTTATTATTTTTTTCATTTCTTAAAAGTGTTCTTTTAGTGAGAATTTTTTATTTATTATAACTCCTAGTTGTTTATAAGATTTAATAATTGGATATTGTTGAAATTGTTTATTGATTTAATTTTTTTTTTTAATAAATATTATTCCTGATTTTTTTTTATTAATAATCATTAAATTGTTTGTTGACCATTATTCTAATTTTTTAATTATAAAAAAAGCTATTATAAATTTTTTAAAAAAATCGCTAAGTTATCAGCATAAAAGAACATAAATAATTATTATTTCTCGTAATATTTTTTTCTTATAGTAGTTATGAAAACAATATATCAATAAAAATATTAAATAGTGTAGGACTTAAAATTGAACCTTGGGGTACGCCTCTTGTTATTCTAAATAATTTATTATCTATTTATATATAAGTATTTTTTAATATAAATTTGAATAGATTAAATTCCTCTTAATTAAAAATATATTTTTTTAAATTATATCTATAAGAATTTTATGAGGAACATAATCAAACGCATTTTTAAAGTCTATGAATAATATGCCACTTTTTTCATATTATT